AATCTAGAAAACTCAAATACACATACAGAAAGCATACAAGTAGAACTAGAAATTTTGTAATTCTATAAACTGTAAGTCATAAAAATATGAAATAGATCATAGGTAACTCCTAAATATAAAGAAATTGGATCATAAAACCCATACAGCTCTCAAATCTCCTGTATTAGTTGAGTGTGTTTGTACACACCTGTAATCCCAGCACTAGGTAGGCTGAAGGAGGCAAAATATTAGGAGTTCGAGGCCAGTCTGGGCTACACAGTGAGACCTTGTCTCAGAGAAACATAAATAAATGACTTGTATTTATATGCCATAAATCTTTTCATGTCAATGGGTTTGTATATGTATTGCTTATTTAATTTAATCTTCTCACATATGCAGTATACTTGTTTTATGAAACACCTACTGATACTAGATTATTTCCTGTTTTGTGAATCATTTCACAGTTTTTACTTCTTTATGAGAACTATCTGCATACAATTATTCTTGCATGGAAGGAATCACTGTAGACATGGAATCACTGTGTGAAAAGCAAGCACATTTTTACAGTTTTTAATATTTACTGACATCTTCAGAAATGTACCAAGTTACCCTACCACTGGAGGTCTCCCACTCTGTCCTGTGCTCCTGTGTCACTTACACTGAGTGTTATCAGGGCTTTTGGGGGCCATCTAATGAGTTTAAAAATATTTATTTTCTACTTCAATTTGTTTTTACTGTTTTGAATGCTTATCAGAATAAGCCCAGTGTCATATATCAATTGGAAATTCTCATTTCTCTTCTTTGCTGAAGATAAAGTTATTTTTTCTCTATCTTTGCTTTATTTCAATTTTCCCTATCATTTAAGCAAAGCCAGAAGGACTCTGTATGTAGGAAGATTTTTCCAGATCTTCTCAGTCATAAGTTATCCCCGTTTCTGACTTCTTGGAGGGTGTTTTGCTTAGCTGTAGTTCTCCACTTCATCATCTTTCTTTCCCTCCCACAAAACCCCGAGCTTCTCATCCATGAAGAGCCATTCACGTATGTAGGTACTGTGCTTTCCCGTAACTTGTCTACGTGGGCCATGTCAACTCCAAGCATGCCTTGTCAGGAAAGGGAAAGATGGAGAACGCACATGGGCTGGTATCTGTCCTGGCTCTGAGAAGGCACATGTCCCCTCTCCCCACAGCAATTGGCCAGAGCTAGTCACACGGCCGGGCCCAGCTTTGAAGGAGCCTGGAGCTCTGGGGAAGTGGATCTCGGCTGTCCTTGGCTTCAGTGATCCAGGAGAGGAAGTCTAATACTTTGCTGCTGTGGGCAACAGTGAAAAGTAGTGGAAATACTCAAGATAGACATGAGCTTCTTAACAATGTCTGTCTGTTTCTTTTGCCTTTGGCAGAATTTAGGTATATACAGTGACCACACTCATCGTGGGGAACTTGTGCCTACGCAAGATGCCTCTTGATTCCTCTTTCTTAGCCCATTTCCATCTTCTCTCTTCAGCCTCCTCCCGCTCCCCATTCACAAAGCTCTGTTTCTCACTTTTTTCTTTTCCCTTCCTTCTTATCCATCTCCCCGCTCCCTAGCTCTCTTTTGAATAATGTCCTCCTATTTTACAATATCCATTGTATGTTTTGGTTCTTAGTTACACTTACAGTTTCTCATGTCAGAGAGATAACGTCATATTTACACATATGAGACCAATTTATTTCACTTATGGTTTTTTGGTGACAAGTTTGTATTCCTTTTATGATAAAAGATACATACTAGTTATGATTTTTTCTACATGGGAACTTGTGGGTTTAATGTTCCTTTTTTTATTTTTTTAACTTTTTTTTTGGAGGAACCGGGGATTGAACTCAGGTCCTTGTGCTTGCCAGGGAAGCACTTATTCCACTGAGCCATCTCCCCAGCCCTAATGTTCCTTTTGAATAAGACAATATGTCACTTTCAAATGCTCAGTGTGTCCTCTGCAGAGTAACTTAATGATCACATTGGTGATTCATCATTTATAACATTCTATTTCATATAATTTTAACTTTTTAAAAATCACATCTATTTTTCATAAAAGTGAGCATGGGGTTTACTGGTAAGCCTTCTGCCTGTATTGCCTTGCTTGATTTTCATAGTGCATCTATGAGGTGAGAATTCTTACTATCCCACCACACACACCTAATGTCCCAGTAGTCATTAGGGAATCCAGAGGACACTACCCCAAATTCTGAATCTCTAACACTTTTGCTTTTAGAGGAAAGAATAAGGAGATACTATTCATATACAGCGAACTTTACAGATACTAGTCATATAATCAGATGTGTTTTGATATCATTACATTCATAATTGTTAAAGATATAAAGTGTAACTATAAAATAGCCATATTTTGACACATATTCTTCTATCCTTAATTCAATTCAAATTATTTTATAGGAAACCATTTCTCTAATACTATTGCTTGCTTCAGTATTCATAAAAATGATCTGCCATGTATGCTTTTCTGTTTTTTATTCTTGTTGTTCATGTTTTGAGTTCAACACAAACTCTCCGTTTCAACAGCCTATTTGTTTTTATTGCTGATTCACTTTAGATATTGATTTACCCATTTTCCTCCTGATAGAGACTCAGTGTTTTCAGGAGTTATTAAGAGTTAATCATCAACAAGTGTTCTTGCATTTTCACGTCACGGGATTAATTGCTTAGAACACAAGGTTGCCAAATCATAGGATGGGTCTGTATTTTGCATTATAGGAAATGCTACAGAGGCATGTACACATTATATATTATAAACATGAACAAAAGAAAGTGGGGGAACTTCCAAGAGATGGATGGAGGGGAAAGGGGAGGATAAGAAAGAGGAGGAAAAGAGG